TAGTTACTCGGCATGCTGGGGTCCCCCTTCTTGTAATAGGGGTGAGGACGGTAGTTGTAAACTGCCGTGGGAAGTCCCCAGTCGCCCTGATATGTTCCAGAAGCACGTGCAGTACCGGAACAAGCTGATTCACTTCCCCCCATCGCCTGCCCCCACCATTACCCGACGCGGAGCCTTCTTCCTCTCGGGGCAAACGTGCATAGCGGTAATATTCCGACGGCGCTACTTCCAAACCTGGTGCCTTACTGTTAGGCAGCCGGTCAACAGCACGTGCGACTTCCTCCAGCGTGAGGGGGGGGTCTAGGATTTCTGCTGCCTTCGCAGTCCTGCCCAAAACCGAGTGGGATGACCGCCATTCCTGCCCCTCTAGGAACTGCCCAAAGTTAATGAAGTTCAAAAGCCGGTTCGCACCATCAGGCCCTGTCTCCCCTACAGCTGCGTTTAAGAGCCCAGCAAAGTGTTCCCTGAAGACCTCAATATCGTCTATCGCACATCGCTCCCTCAACTTCCCTCCTAAAGCCCGCCACAAAGCTCGTTGGTCTTGCCGACATTTGGCCACAAAATCTCTCATCCTATCCTCCTCATATGCCGCCTTTGCGTGTCTTTTTGCCCGGTTATAATCCGTCCGCGCATGGCGGAAAGCCTCCCACTCCGTACCCGATTTATTACTCACCCGGCCTGGACCCAGTTGTGCTCTACTCTCCAACATGCGTTGCCGTGTTTGTTGACATTCCCGGTTCCACCAAACCGTATTCCCACCTGCCGTCATGCCGGTAGGTCGGTGGGTATCGAAGGCCCTCACCAGGACTTTGTACAGGGCACCTCCAATGTGTTCGACAGCTTGTGTGGTGTTGCAAACTCCCCTCTGCAGGTCCTCGGCCACTTGGCTTAAGGCATTCATAGTGGGGGACCCCCCCTCAAAATATCCCGCGTAATCCTGGTATCGTGCAATATCAAACTCCACCCGGGCTTTCCGGCCTTTACCGTCCCTACACCTGTTTTCGTCATCCACTGTAACATTAAGAACAAGCGTCAAAGGACGGTGGTCGGTGGGCTCCCATCCATCCAACTCGATCAGGTTTCCTACCCTCAGAAAGGTGGCGTACTGCTGAAGCACACGCGGAGTCGCTATGAATAAATCGAGCATACTACCGCCTGCCTCCCCCTTAGGGAAAGTTAGGCGGCCTTCTGGGTCCCCTCTCATCCGGCCGTTCATCACGAGCAATCCCTCGGATCTGCAGAGCGCCCCAAGCTGGGCACCAAAGAAATTGCAAACTTGGTCCTGGCACTTTCGATTTCCGAGTCCATCATAATTCTGGTGGTCCCTCAGTCCTTCTAAACCCAT